CGTAAACCTTGGATAGAACAGCTCCAATGCCTACTCCACTTGCATCATACTCCAACTCAAAAGTCTTGTTGAAATCAGGTAGCACCAAGACAGAAGCTTGTGATAGTTTTTGTTTAATCTCATTGAAACTAGCTTCGGTTGCTTCTGTCCATTGGAACTTTCCTTTCTTCAAACACTCGGTAATTGGTGCCATGATAGTGCTGAAATTCTTCACAAATCGCCTATAGAAAGTCGCAAGGCCATGAAAACTTCTTACCTCAGAAATGGTCTTCGAAGTTGGCCATTCTCGGATTGCTTCAACCTTAGAATCATCAACACGAATACCATCACATGTTATGACGAATCCTAGCAAAAGAAGTTGTGTTTGCAGGAAAACACATTTCTACAAGTTGACGTAGAGCTCATTTTCCCTTAGTACTTCTAGCACCTTCGGAATGTGATCAAAGTGTTCATCCTCATCCTTGCTATAGATCAAGATGTCATCGAAATAGACCACAACAAAGTGGGGTAAGAAGGGTCGAAGGACTTGATTCATTAAGCACATAAAGGTACTTGTGCATTTGAGAGTCCAAATGGCATGACTAGCCATTCAAACAACCCTTCCTTTGTCTTGAAGGCGGTGTTCCATTCATCCCCAGGTCTGATACGGATTTGATGATATCCGCTTCTTAAATCTAGCTTTGTGAACACTCTTGCTCCACTAAGCTGATCCAACATATCATCCAGACGGGGAATCAGGAATCTATACCTTACGTTGATCTTGTTAATGGCTCTACTGTCCGTACACATGCGCCAAGATCCATCTTTCTTTGGTGCGAGTAGGGCTGGTACAACACATGGGCTAATACTTTCTCGAATGTGCCCCTTTTGTAGCAATTCCTCCACTTTCTCCTTCAATATATCATGCTCCTTTGGGCTCATTCGATAGTGTGGAACATTAGGAAGACTTGCTCCCGGAATTAAATCAAATTCTATGTTGAATTCCTCTCATTGGTGGCAGGCCTTGTGGCTCTCCAAGTATGTTATGAAATTCTGCCAATAAACCGCGTACCGTTGCTGGAATTTCAACAGTCAGGTGCTCTTCTCCTTTTACAACAAGTGCAGCACACAAATCTGCCTCCTTCAAGTCTTCCATAAACTCATGAGAAGTATGGGAGAAAGTTAACAGTTTTCCGCTCCTTAGAGGTATTACCTTCAGTTTTGTTTGGTAAAATAATGATCTTTCTTCTGTTCCAAATGAAAGAGTAAGAATTTTCCTTGCCCTTGTGTGTACTATACACATCAAATTGCCAAGGTCTCCCAAGAAGAACATGGCTAGCGTCCTTATCTATACCACTTTATAGTGTGCCAATAGCTTCAAATATTAGTCGTTGGATATGCCCATCCAACGGTCAAGAGATGGCAAATCCGAGCATTGTCATCCGTTGGATATAGTTTTTAACTCATAGGATACTGCCACGTGGCCTTCTAATTGAAAACCCAACTCTACCATCTCATGTGTTCTAGAAGTATCTATCCACATGCCTATCCGATACTCTAATGAAAAGAGGCTAGAACAATCTGGATTCTAGAGAGGTAAGAGCCAAGTTGGATCTTGTCCAGTACGATTCTAGAAAAGGAAATACATATTCAAATGTATTTTTCCATGCTTTTTATATATATTTAAATGACGTGCAAAGCACATACAATTTACTAGTCAACTATGTCACTCAACACATTTGAGCGATAATGCTTGCCCAAAGAAAGTGGCAGGTTGCATTGTTTGGTGATCCTCATATTCACTCCTTTCTTGATCCACCCAATAGTGTAGGGGTTTTGGATGATCATGAGTATCAAGCTTTAAATGGTTCACCAACTTCTGGGAGATAAGATTCTCGCAACTGCAACTATCAATCACTAATTTGCATACCTTGCCATTCACTGTGCATTTGCTCTCAAATATTTTCTTCCGTTATGTGTCGTCAGGTTGTGGTGTGGAACATAGGAGACGCTGAATCACACATACCACCTGTTCACCTTCTTCTTGACAAACCTCTAGTCCCTCTACATCTTCAGATTCGTATTCTTCCTCATCGCCTTCACCATCATGGATAGTTGTGTTAACAAATTTCCTTAGTGGGCAACCGCTGGATATGTGTCCCTCTTCACCACATTTATAGCATTTTGGGCCTTCATTGGACTTACCCTTGCCTCTAGTTTGCATCTGGGTGGGTCGTTTTGCCTTTGGTGGAGCGGTCTTTTCTTCCACTCTATTAGGCTGACTCCTGGACGAGCCTTCGGCATGAGGATATGGAGCCTTAGTTGCCTTTCTTGTCCTCACAAACCTCTCGGCCTTTAAGGCTAAAGCTTGTGCTTGATCAATGGACTAGATTTGTTGCATCAACAATCGATCTTGAATAGCATCGTTGAGACCATTGATGTACCTTGCAACTTGTTGATCTTCAGTTTCAGCATGGTTGCACCTCACTTGTAGCCTTAGAAACTCCTCCGTGTAATCTGAAACAGTCCTATTTCCTTGAGCATAATTCTAAAATTGGACAATAGGATCTGGTCATAATCAGCGGGCAAAAATCTCCCTTTCAAGAGACTTTTCATTTGCCGCCAAGTTCTCACCCGAGGTTCTCCTCTCAGCCTGCGCTCTTCTTGAACGCGATGCCATCATGTACTGGCTCCTCCTTTCAGCTTGTATGCGACCAAATGAACTCTACGATCTTCCGGAACCTCCATGACCTCAAAGAAAGTCTCCACTTCATATAACCAATCTAGGCACCCTTCAATATCAACATTTCCATTAAAAGTTGGGATCTCAGCTTTCACCTTGTATGTATCTCTTGCATATGTAGGGTTGGGTACTCTCCGATATGCGTAGAGATCTGGTTCTTCAAGGGCATCATCATATTCTTCACCTTCCGAAGCTTCAACATAAATTGGCCTTGCTGCTACAATGTGTACAACACACGTGTTGAAGGAGCAACTTCAACGTGCTGCGCTAGATATCGCTCTAGAGGCGAATGTAGCCCGATATGGCAGCAAGAGTTCAACCCAGAACTCCTAGAGCACAAGATCTACTCGAAGATCTTAGATAAGAACAAGAAGTTCTATTATAGGTAGTGAGTACATATTATGGGTTACAAAGTAGAGGTGATGACCTCTATTTATAGGGCTTTGAGAAGCCTTCACATACTTCTACTTATAGCTGGAACACTCTAGAAAACATTATTTAGGATTCACCTCTCTACTCACAGCTACTTATAACTAGAGAACTCTAGAAACAGCAGGAAGGGTAAAGAAAAAAAAAGAAATACTACACTAGAGTGGAAGTATCTAGAAGTAGCCAAACAGATCTGGCATCTGTTTTTTTTTCTCATCTATTGTTCCTCATCATAGTGGTATAAAGTATCTTGCACGAAAATAAGAGTTGAGCTTAGAAGATGCAAACACAAGGGGCTCGATGACGTTTTCCCATGGTTCGATAGTTGGCGCCATCCTACTCCACATTTTTTATTGCGTGGATATCCTACTCCACGATGATGGAGGCTTTGAACCAAATGGTTCTAAGATTGCAAGGAGCTCAATGAACCTATTCCACCATGGTTTGCGCCAAGAAGCCTCACTAAGGGGTAGATCTTCACGAAATAAACGATCTCCTTGCCCTCACAAACTCTTGAGTCCTTCACAAAGTAGTGGATGAAGGCTTTTAAGTGATTCCTACCCATCTACAAGGCGCATACCCTCCAAGAGTAACAAGCGAAGCAAACTCACTTGGCAGATTTCCTCGAAAGATCTTTAATCAAAGCTCTTCTCAAGAGCCTATATGATCTCTCTGATACAAGGTGTATGAGTGGTGTAAGAAGAGAGGAACACTAGGTGTAGGTGTTCAAGAAGAAGGAAAGAGTTCTTGACCTAAAAACCTTCCAAGAATCAAAGAAGTGTTCATGTAATCACCCATTGCTTGTCTTCTTTTCTTTCCTCTCTCTCTCTCTCTCTCTCTCTCTCTCTCTCTCTCGACTTGAACTTTTGGTAGTTGGAAATGAATGATATGAGTTGAATGGCTTGCCAGAACGAAGGGGTATCCAAATCTATATATAGAGCTCGACGGAAACCTGACTGTTACTTGAAAAAGTCACTAGTCAAGAAGTGCTGGAAGAAATTCTTTGGAACTTCCCAATGTGTTTTTGGGAACCTTGGGAAAACATATCAGTCAGAAGTACCGGGATAAAAAAAATAGTGGTTGCGGAAGACAAAAAGGTGGCTCCTTTCTGCGTGCATAGAACTATCTTGGAAGCATACCGTGTAAAACCAAATTCTCAGTAGTACTTTAGTAGATAGAACAGTTCTCATAATGAGGATCATGCAGGAATGCCAGAGTCACAGCTCGGAAGTATTGGGTGGATTTGCTCGGAGGTATTGGACTTAAACTGTGACCAGATAGCAAACTGAAAGCTGTTTGGAAGTGTCTTTGTGACAAGTTAGGCTTCGAAGTGCCGGAGGTAACACAGAGAGGAGTTTGGCTTGGCACCGCCCGCACAGAAATGAGCGGCGGTCCGAACTGTGGAAAACTTGGTTTGGCGCTCTAGAATTAGCACACTCAGATAAGCTCGCTAGAACCGGTTAGCAAAAATGGTGGTACCGGGGCTTTGGAAAATCTTAGAAGTAGAGTGGCTAAAGTGAATTATTTCCAAAACTTTGGCTTGGGATCTTTTGTGGGGTTCAAACCAAAGTACCTTTGCTTGTGCCCCTCTTGATAGTACGACTGTCCTACACTCGATGGACAGCCGTCGCCTCAGGCAACTTGCGAGGTGTCGTAGGGTTCCCTCTGGGTTCTGGTAGTCATGAAGCGAGTGTTCAACAAACTGGTCCAGTTGATACATGAAGCTAAGCTAAGAGTTCGCACCTTGCTTTTGCATGACCATTGCCAAAAAATATAACATCATAAATTCATCATATGGATTGACATAACACTGACTTCTCCTTGGTCATATATTCCCATTTTGTTGCAGTGAATTTCCTTTGTCTATAATTCTGGTCGGAGTTGGAGATGGTCCTTGGGACATGATGAATGAATTTGATGACAACATTCCTGCTAGATCTTTTGACAATTTCCAGGTAAATACTAAAATTATATAAATACTGATATTTGCTTCCCAAGCAAAATAACGGTGATATTCGCTATCCTAGTTTGTCAACTTCACTGGAATCATGTCAAAAAAGATCAGTCAAAGCAACAAGGAGACAGAGTTTGCCCTTTCAGCACTCATGGAAATACCTTTGCAGTACAAAGCAACATTACAGCTTGGAATACTGGGGTAAGCAGAAGCAAGAGCACGTGTAGTTACACATATTTCTTATTTACCATTCCTAGTTGGCTTGATTGTCTCATTTTGTTATTCGTGTTTTTACTAACTAGGCGTCGACTTGCAAAGTCTCCAGAGCAAGTTCCACTTCCTCCTCCTTTCGCAAGTTATAATACCACCTCAAGAGCAGCACCATCTTGGGCAAATAACTTCCAAAGTGTGCCTTCTAATCTTAGGGAGGAGGCAACTTTAGATTCAACAATCACACCGTCAGTTACACCCCCACCAGCTGCAGATGCTAGAGCATCGGAACTCCAAGTAAGACAAATACTGCCCTGCTATATCGTATGATATTTATAAATTGATCCAGACTAGAAAAAAACGAGAATCTCATGGGCAGGCACACACAATATAGAAAATAGTGTATGTAGTAATTTTTGGAACAATGTTACAACATAGTGACTTGAATAGTAAAAGGTTGTTCCAAAATTGCTACTTTTTGTGCACAATTTTACTATACTACGTATAGTTTTTCTAACTATTCTACACTCGAGCTTATTGCGTGCGTGCATGCGTGTGTGTGTGTGCGCGTGCGTGCATGCTGAGCAATTAGCCAACTACCAAAAATAAGGGGATCCGAAATTCGTAGGAGACATGATAGTTTGGTTTTTCATGTGATTTGTTTGGCACCGTCAAATAAGATACTACCATATTTTTCATGGTGAACGTAGTGGTATAATGAATCAGTATATGAATATGAAAAGAAGTATATATGTTGAAAGTGGTTTCCATCTTTAGGATGATTAAACAATTAATGATACTAGCCACTATCCAAACAAGTATATACTTGTTGGCAATTGAAAGGTACTACCTCTGTAACTAAATACTCCCTCGGTCCCATAATATAAGAGCGTCTTTGTCAAAGACGCTCTTATGTTATGGGACAGAGGGAGTACAAGACATATTTAGTTACAGAGGCTTGAACTGCAAAAACATCTTATATTTAGTTACAGAGGTAGTATATATTAGCACTATACTGCTTAATTACAACCCAAAAGATTACAACCCAAAAGAGTATATATTGTTTGCCAATAAAATAGTTATATACTACCGCGTGCTAAATTAAGGGGTATGTACTGTTTATATCCAAAACAATATATACTGCTTGGCAATTAAAGGAAGATATACTCTTTTCTTTCAAAGGAGTATATAGCTTATTTTTTACGATGGAGTAAATAACTTCTTTTCTACCCAATGGAGTATGTCAAGCTAAAGTATGCATATATGTCCATAAAGAACAGGAGTATATACATTTAGGAGGTGTTTGGTTCCAGATTGGTAACGCAAACGCAAACGTAATGAGTTTACGGTGTTAATGTAAACGGAATGGACAAAAGTTGAAATTTGTTTGGTTACCTACTGTAACGTCAATCAATACCGGGGTTGCTCAAGAATTCACGCCAGTGAACATGGATAGGCAGGCCGGGAAACGGCAGTGGCGAGTCACCGTTGGATATGGCGGCGGAGTACAAGGCCACGGACGGTAAGAGTATGAGTGAGAGACGCGGTGGCCGCTTCCGCCGCCGGCCGGCGAGCGGCGACCTGCCGTCAAGGTTGAAGGCCGAGGCGAGGCGCCGCAGGCATGCTGAGGAGCGACCGCGCCGGCGTCGATGCCGCCGTCAGCTGGACAAGACCATGACTGGCGCTACAGGCACGTCAACGCCGGCGAAGCTTCCTTGCGGCGCATGAGGAAGGAGGAAGGAGGCCGCATAGCTCGTGCGATCGCATCTCGTGCGGAGAAGATACGGCTGTAGCGTTTTCTGTTACAGCAGATTTCCAGCGGTATCAGTTTTGTATTAGGCTGGGATTTGATACCATGTTATCAGATTACAGAGCAAGGGAAACAAACACGATTTTGCGGGACCTGTTAGCGACGTAATCAGATTATGTTACAGTAGCGCGAACCAAACACCTCCTTAGTTAATGGAGATGACTCGTGATCTAGGCTACTGGCTGAGGGGATCAATTAGCCAAGAAACTACTAAACAACCCTTGAGATGTTATCAGCCTTGCAAAGGCAAGCTGACATGGCGACCACTAAGGTCTATTGCTGCAAGAAATTGAAAAATCCAGCAAAAACAAGGTAACAAGCAATCTTAAAAAAGATAAGCCCACTTCACAACCCTCAACTCACCAAAGAGTTTAACTTGCAAGCCTTGACTCCCAAATCGGTTAGAACACACTCCTAACTTCCAATACTGTTTACTTTACTCCCTTGAGACGATTGGGACATGGTTTTGTGTGGCGTGGCACATTCAAATTAACCCCTCAAAGCTGAGGTGGCATCCGAGTTAGCAAAAATTATAAAACAAAATTGCTTGTCCCATTTGTCATAGCACATCTTCTTCCTCATCTTTCTCTTTCCTTTCTTTCTTCCTATATCCCAAGCCCAAGCGAGCAGCTGCGGCGTGCTTCCGGCCGTACCCTCCCACCAGCGTGTTCCCGTGCTCATGAAGATCTAGCACGTCTGCTAGCATCTGCCTAATAACGATCCTAGGTCACCACTTCCACACAACGCACACTTTGCAACGTGCACGCCATGTAGGTGCAATGCTCGGTATCATAACATAATTCCATACAAATCCGTAGCTATGCGTAGGGGAGGAAAAACGAAAAAAGTCCCATAGCAATTAGGTCCGCGATCAGCCAACTGCAACATTGACCATATCCGCACCAACCATCTCATGAGAGCACACGGACGATGAGGTTCTTCAACATCAACTCCTTCAGGAAGGAAGTGACGCTCAAATGTCACTGTCACCGGATCCAACCACCTAGGCCAGAATCTAGGCTGTCTAGGTTTTCAGCCTGAATAATCAGACCGAGCATATCTGAGTAATGCCTTCAACAAGGTAACGACGTAGAAAAAACATCGCTATTGCCAGGTATAACCAGCTTGGGTCAGACCTAGGCTTTCACCTCGGAGCTCAAGTAGCACCACCATCGAAGTCACCCATGTGTTGTCGCCACCGCTTTTTCGTGATTCCAACAACTACATGTGATGTGCGACCGCCACTGCTGCACAACCATCCCTCTGTGTCAAGCCGTCGTCCATAGTTTGCATCTCACCGCCGAAGTCAACCACCAGATATGAAGGGGAAGGGATGAACCCTCCCGAAGACCTTTCAGTGACCACCGCTGTTGTGAAGCCGCATGAGGTCGCTCCCCCACAGTTTGTAGCCACCACGACTTGGCCGACCGGTTTTAGATCACCGCCATCACGACGTCCAGATTTGAATCAGGGCAACCACGCTGGTTTGACCAAGGACGATGCCAAGCTGTGGTTGAAGGGAAACTCCCAACTCATCACTACCATCAATATGTGTGCACAAGTCTCTCAATTCATCATCATACATCGCAATGGTTGAAGGGAAAATCCCATGCTCAACCGTCTTGTCACCGTCGCCACGGGTGAAGGCCGAAGATGGCACATCACGACTCGCCTTCATGACCGAAGGGAACATCCCATGCTCGGTCATCTCACTATCGCCTCTAAAGATGGAAGCATCATTCTTGCTTGTCACCTGTCACTCGCCTCCAAATCTTGGTCCTTGAGTGGCTCCGTAGTCGTAGTCGTCGCCGCACCGTTTTCAAAAAGAGTCATGGTAGACTCGGCATCGTCAATGCCACGAGGAGGGATGGCGGTGAAGTCGAACTTTGGAGCGTAGTCTTGGAGCTCGTCCGGCTTGGACATCTTTGTGGTACTACCCTCATGCTCGTCGCCTTGGAGTTCGGTTGTCGCAAAGTGTGCATGGGGTCGAGAAGCCTTGGCCTTCTTAAGTTCTTGTTCCGCATTGAGAGCACTAACGTAGAGGTCATCGAGAGACTCGTATTTATTGAAGAAGATAGTCTTAGCGATGTCGTTGTTCAATCCCGTGGTAAAGTGGCACTTCATCCAAATGGGGTCGTCCACACCGGCTTGTCGTAATGCTTTCTTCATCTGCATGAAGTATCTGTCGAGGGACTTGGAACCTTGTTTGGTGTTCTCCAATTGGCGTTGAAGATTTTCCGTGTAGGTGGATGAAAGGATCGATATAGTTGACTAGAGGGGGGGGGGGTGAATAGGCAACTAACAATTTTTAGCTTTTCTTTATCAAATTAAACTTTGCATCAAAGTAGGTTGTCTAGATATGCAACTAGGTGAGCAACCTATATGATGCAACAACAACAATTACACAAGCAAGCAAGGGATACAACACAATATAAGCTTGCACAAATAAAGGTGAGAGATAACCACGAGTGGAGACGAGGGTGTGTTACCGAAATTCCTTCCCTTTGAGAGGAAGTACGTCTCCATTGGAGCGGTGTGGAGGCACAATGCTTCCCAAGAAGCCACTAGGGCCACCGTATACTCTTCACGCCCTCACACAATGCGAGATGGCGTGATTTCACTACTGGTGCCCTTGGAGGCAGCGACCGAACCTTTACAAACAAGGTTGGGGCAATCTCCACAAATTAATTGGAGGCTCCCAACGACACCACGAAGCTTCACCACAATGAAATATAGCTCCGCGGTGACCTCAACCGTATAGGGTGCTCAAACACCCAAAAGTAACAAGATCCGCAAGGGATTAGTGGGGGGAATCAAATTCTCTTAGTGGAAGTGTAGATTGGGGCCTTCTCAACCAATCCCTAGAGAATCAACAAGTTTGATTGGCTAGGGAGAGAGATCGGGCGAAAATGGAGCTTTGAGCAACAATGGAGCTTGGGGAGGGAAGAGGTAGTCAACTTGGGGAAGAAGACTCCCCTTATATTGTGAGAGAAAAGATCCAACCGTTACCCACTTACTCAGCCCGCGACATGCGGTACTACCGCTCGACGTTGCGGTACTACCGCTCCCGCGGCAGAGACCAGACGAGGCCATGTTGCGTTAAAGCAACGAGCGGTACTACCGCGCGTCCTTGCGGTACTACCGCAAGGCAGGGTTCGACTAGACTGGGAAGGCACGGACTAAAAAATTAGATCCGTGGCTACTTCCGCTGTGTTTCGATCTGTGCAAAAATCCGGCACGATACTACCGCACGCATGGAGCGGTACTACTGCGTAGGGCGCGGATGTAGAAAATTACTTTCGCCCCTACTTTCGCGCATGTCACTTTGCTGGGCTAGAGGCCACGGTACTACCGCCCTCGAGGAGCGGTACTACCGCATTGCGCGGTACTACCGCTTCCCTGGACGGTACTACCATGGGCCACTGCAGTACTACTGCTCCCTTGAACAGTACTACCACATGCCACAACACAATAGCGTTTGGAGTCC